TAAACTAACTCAGCCCAGCCCGCCTGACCCTGGGGGCAGGCACTGGGTGAAGAAAGCAGGATGGGCAAGAGGAGGGCAAAGGGGGCTCATTCCAACCCCAAATCCTGACTGGAAATTAAGCCTGCTTGTTCAGTCACAGCCAGCAGACAAAGGAGAGCGTTTACTGAACGGCAGCCTTGGACAGCGCTTCCTCACTCTGGGGTTGATTTAAGGTCTGGCTGACAGGAAGGAAAAGCACCATTCTTCCACCTTTTTAATCAAAACCTTCAGTGCCATGTGGAAAAGCCACAACCACGCAGCTTGGGTCCATCTGGAGTGGCTCCTCTTCCAGGCAGCAGGCACAATCCACGAGCCCCAGACAAGGACAGAACCAAAGGGAAAAGCGGGGTTTTGTTATCTTGGTCATTGGGGAAAAGTGAATCACCCCAGCCAAGCGCTCGTGAGCAAAGGGCGGTGAGGCCATGGCTCCTTCTACTCCAGGCCTGATGGCTACATCCTGCGGCTCTTGGCCAAAACACCAAGTCCTCTCTGAGGGTCCACATGGCCAGCGTGGGACCACGTGCCCTGAGCACCATGCCAGATGCAGCCCCACTGGGCAGAGACACATGCTGGACAGGCAGCTGGTGGCAAGAGGTTAGAAGCTGGAAAAATGACAATTCTCATGGGGCCTCTCAAGTTCTGGGGGAAGGGGGTGCCCACCTTTCCCATCAGGGTCTCCAGTCAGAAGCATTTCACCCTGAAACAGAGGAAGCCCAAGCTTTGGGGCCTTTTACTTGCAGTCTCGGGAGCTATAGAGTGTTCTAGGTGGGAGAGGAAGCACTCACACATAAGCACTTCTGGTAGATGGAGAACTCAGATGAACAGGACCGAATCTCCAAGACTCCAGGCATGGGTTGTGATTTCTTTTCATTCTCAGGAAGCAGTCACTCTTGTACCTCATGTTCTGTTCTTTCCCATGTTATTTAAGCTGTAGCCCACACAGAACCTGGATCTCCCCTTGTCTCTGACAGACGGCACTCAGTCTGGAAGGGGCCTTCTCCAGAGGGACTCCCAGCACTCCATCTCCTGCCTGACCGCCACCAAGCCCCCAGGAAGACGGCCTGAGCTGCACCTTTATCTCTTTGCGATGGACAGCAAAGACCCTGAGTCCAAGGGGCTCACCAGGCTCTCTGGGGCTTCCCGTGGTTGGAGAAGGTGAGGAAGGCCAACGCCCTGACACCGTGCTGGGAAGCAGCCCGGCAACCTGTGTACGGCCCCCATTTCCATATGGCACAGACCCGCGCAACCACCCCGGCAATCTCCTTAGGCGTTTGGGCAACCTTCTCTTACACCAATTTGGGGGCGACCCTGGGGATAGCTGGTTACTCCGTCAGGCCAGGAAGACATGGCAGGGGATGGGAGTGGTCTTTGCAAGCTAAGCTAGAGACGGTGCTACTGCTGAGACCAGTCAGAAAGCAAGGAGCCCTCTGCTTCTTAGCTGGGGTCCAAGCTGATAGCCCATCAGCTCCAGCAGGCTCCTTGAGTGTCCGTTCTGTGCCAGGTCATGAGCTCCACCTCAAGGACCTCATAAACTGATTCACTTGGCCAACGGCAGGAGTTCAAGACAGGTGGGGACTGAAGATGGATGAGTGCAGTGCAGCCTCTCAGCCCCTAGGAGGGAAAGTTCAAAGAGGTGGCCTCATGGCTGAGGTCAGGTCTGATCAAGGCACAAAGGATGAAGGAGGTCTGGCCAGGCAATGAGGAGCACTCTTCCTCCCTTCCTCTCCTGGTATCTGTACCAGGGGAAGTATTCTGAGAAGGCCAGGGCTTGAAAAGCATCATTTTTTCCCTGTGGCTAAATTGATGCTTTTCTGGGTAAATTTAAGATGGTGGGACTGCCTCTGAGGACCCTAAACAGACAGCAGGCTTATGAAGACCATCAACTGGGAGAGGGGCCTTGCAGCCAGGAAGTGCTCTGGGCAAGCCTGCCACTGCAGTGGGTTTCAGCCCCTTCCAACTGTGCCCCTGCTGACCTGGCCACCTCAGGTCACAAAGTGCCACATTCCCTGGGTCGGCAAAGTGAAGAAACACAGCCCTTGAGAAACAGCCACAAACCTCCAAGAAGGGAAAAGCAGATTGGGACTTAAAAGGTCTTGTCCCTTATTTCCTTTGCTGTTCAAGTGGCTTCGCAGAAATCAGGATGAAGGATTTTTAGGGGTCAGGAAGTGAGAGAGGACATTTTTAAACACAGGCAGAATTTAGCCAGAGGCCCTGAGAGCTGGGCAACTCTAATGAGAAAGAAAGGAACATACACAAGTGGCCCTGACCCAGACCTTGACTTTTTACGTCAAAAGCGAAAGAGGGTAATTAACAAAACGAAACGTGCCTGGATATGGAGTGAGAGGCCAGCCGGGCTCTGTCAATTCGATAATCCCCGGTCAAGACCTGTGGGCCCAGAGTGTGAGATGGGAGATGACTCGCCGTTTACACAGGCTGAGATCTGCTCTCAGGATCCAGAGAAGTGGGATTTTTTTCCTGGTGAGTGGTTTGAATCTGGCCAGCTCTGCTCTGGGTCAGGGCCAAGTGAAGGTAACTCACAAGTAGAGCTCCAGTCCAAAGGGGCTGGGGTGCAGGACGCTCACACCCGGGAACATCTCACTCCTTGTGCGTGAGAGGCGAGGGCAACGAAAGCCAACTTTCCATCTTCCAGAACACCCTCCCTCCAGACCGGCTTCAGTTTGCAACTGTGTTAGAAATATCTTGGCCCTGAAAGCTTTTTCTCCAGTGAAGATTTCATTCCATGTGGCTTGGGAGTAAAGGAAGGGCAGAAATTTCCTAAGATCGAGGGAATTCAATTGAAATTCCCCACACGATGTCATTTCTCTGCCCAAGGCCCATGGACAGGGAGGACCTGTCAGGCCACATGGAGACCAGCATCACTGCCCATCCAGGGCAATGCTGGGGGCAGGCCAGATTGTCCTCAGGAAGCCTGTGGCTGATTTCTGTGTCTCCAGCCACTCTAAAAAGAGGAATTCTGGGCAGGAAATACGATACACCACAAAGGATTAAGGGTCCAAGGCAAAGCAGGCTCCAGTGGTATCAAGGGAACATCCAACTTTCTGCCCTGGAAGGTCACAAGAAAGGAAGAGGGACCAGGCAGGCATGCTCTGGCCTGCTGGGAGGAGCCCCGGCTGGCACACCAGCCGCAAGGAGTCAAGAGGAGCCCAAAGGCATCAGGCTGCAGGCAAAGAGGATGTGTTTTGCAGGAAAGGTTGGGGGAGAGAAATAAAGTGTCTACCTGAAGGACAATTACACACCCATTAAAAATGCTGTGCAGGGAGACTGTGACATGAGAAAACGTTAACACCGTGTAAAGTGGAAGGAGGTGCCCAGATTCAGGGCCAGCAGCTGCAGGTGGACAGGGCTCGGGAGGGACCAGCCAGGGTGCACAGCCTACAGCCCACCTGCTGGGAAGCTGATGCAGGAGAAGTTTTGTCTTTGGTTAACTTTTGAGACAACAACACAGTGGAAAAGAAAGATCACAGTTACAGAGTCAGACAGACTGGGGTTATATCTCATCATCACCCTTTTTTGTTGTTCTTTCTCTTTGTTTTACTGTGGTGAAAACAGACCACGAACAGGAAAACTGCCATTTTAACCATTTGCCAGTGGACAGTTCAGCAGCATTAATTGCATTCATAATGTCAACTATCGCATCTTTTTCCAAAATTTTTTCATCATCCCAAATAGAAACTCTATACCTATTAAGCATTAACTCCCCATCACTCCCTCCCCCGGGGCCCTGGTAAGCTCTAATTTACTTTCTGTTGTGATGAATTTGCCTGCTCTAGACATTTCATATAAGAATCACACAATATGTGGCCTCTTATGCCTGGCTTCTTTCACTTAGCATAAACTTTTCAAGCTGTAGCATGTATCAGAACGTCATTTTATTTATGGCTGAATAATATTTCATTGTGTGGATATACCACAATTTTATTCATCCACTGAGGGACACTTGGGTTGTTTCCACTTTTGGCTACTGTGAATCATGCTGCTGTGGATATTTGTATCCAAGTAACTGTGTCAGTCCCTGCTTTCAGTTCTCCCAGCTTTCACTCTTACCCAAGGTAAAACGGGACAATTGTGTCTACTACACAGGACTGTCATGGAGACATAAGGAGAGAAAGTGTAAAGCACACAGCACGCAGTAAGTGCTAAAATAATGTTGCTGGCCCCACCTCCCCCAGTAACACTCACCCTTAATAAGGGAGTATCAGAGGGTTAACAAGTCAATGGTGCCCCTGGCAAGGACCTCTCCGTTTAAAAAGCATGGATACTTGAATGGCCGCACCAGTGGCCTCCTCTGCTTTATTCACACACTACACAAACGTCTCAGCATTTAGACAACTGGCCCCAAGAATAAGAGCCTCAGAGGAGTTCGAGCTCAGCTGGAGGCCAACCATGGTGGGAGGAGGAAAACAAAGTCAGCAAGCAACCCTTTACAGGCCTTTGCTCTCCACTTCTAGCACAGGGTTGAGGGAAGCCCGGGGCGGAATGTTCCAGTCTCCTCTTCCAGACGTATGACCCTCAGGGGGGTCCAGCCCCTCTTTGGGCCTCTGTTCCCTCATCTAGGAAATGAGGAGTTTGGCTTAGCCCAGGAGTTTAATTTAACTTTTTTTAGAAGAGAAGGGGAATTCTTAGAGTATGGACAGCATTTTAAGAAGTTTTGGAGAAGTGAGAAAAAATATAGGAAAAAGTGACGTCCAGGGTTTTAAGGGGGTGAGGAAAAGAGCAACAGCGCAGCATTTCGCTCGTCTCTGTGGTGAACCAGGCAACCGCAAAAAGTGTGAAGAGACAGAGGTCACCTGCTTCCGGAGGCCGGTCCTTCTACCAAACTGCAGACCACCTTCACTTTCCAGCTGTAAGTCTAGTGATGGAAGGCAGACACTTGGAAGGCAAGTTTAAGAAGAAACAGGATCACTTACACCCTATTTCTTAAACTTCAGCTTTATTCCTGGAGGGGGCGCACGTGCCTGGAGGTCCTGCAACACCAGGTTGATGTGTGGAGCGGATGGAGCAAGCCCCTATTCCAAATCCCTGCTCCAAAAATCCATTTAATATATTGTCATTGGATACAGGACAGGATACATCAAATACTAAACTGAGAAGAGCAGATACTACCCTCGATCTTAGCCAAAAGGCTGAGAAGCAATTAGCCCAGCAGTTTTACAACTGGGTTCCAAGGAGCCATCCGTGTTCTTCTCAAAGCCAGGGCCCAGCACAGGGAAGGGAGCAACAGGGGTCTAGCCCCAGGCTGGTCAACCACCGCAGATCTGGAAATCTGTCTTCGCATCGGGAAATCTACAGCTAAAACTGAAGGCAAGGCCCTGGACTGGGAGGCCCCTGAGATCTCCTGGGTGCTGCAGCCCCCCCCCCCAGGTGGTGTCCTCTCTCCCCTAGGGAGGGAACTGGACGAATGGTCCCTGAGGGTGAGGGTCATCTCCCAGCGTATCAGGATTGCTGGAGGCCCAGACATCCATTCAGAGCGTGGCTCAAGCAGCAGGGGCCTTCCATGGGGAGCAATGTATCACTGGGTCCTGGGGCAACCTGGAAATGACCCAGGAGCCCTGCTGCTCTCCAAACAGCACCCTAGCTCTCTAGTCATTAACAGTCTTTCAGTCAAGAAGAGATGTGAATGGGGGGGAGGGTTTAGCTCAAGTGGTGGAACACATGCTTAGCATGCACGAGGTCCCGGGTTCAATCTCCAGTACCTCCTTCAAATATAGATAAATAAATAAACCGAATTACCTCCTCCCTCATAAAACAAACAACCAAACAAAAAAGAAAGAAAGAAAAAAAAAAGAGATGTGCTTGGAGTCCAAGGCAGGGAGCCAGGCTGGGTTCTATTAGGAGAGCAGGATGGGGAAGGGTCAAGAGCAGAGACTCTGAAGTCTCCGCTTCCTCCATTCCAGCTGTGTGGCCTTGAGCGAGTTACTTAACCTCTCTGTGTCTTCAACACCTCATCTTTAAAGTGCAGATGATCCATGTGGTAGATGTGAGGATTAAGTAAGTTGTTTAAAGCCCTAAGGACAGTGTTGGGCACACAGTAAGAGCTGTTCCCAGGAAGTTCCTTTCTTAAGTTTTCAATCCTCTTCTACCCTTGGGACTTTTTTGCAGTGCTGTGGCAGGAAGTAGGAAAAGCCAGGCCACATGCTCCATTGACCCAGCTGCCCTTCCAATCCAGCTGGCCACCCAGCCAGCCCCTGCCCAGGAGGGGCTCAAGCAAAGGTGGACTTTGAGTTCATCAGATTCATTGACAACAGGATGGAGATGCTATTCTGGGCACTGGGAGACAGAGGAGGGCCAAGGGATCTCAGCAGAGATGAAAAGCTGGCTCCAGGGCCAATGACAGGGAGCTCAAATCCCTGGAGGATGGGCAGGCACTTAGAAGGGAGGCACCGGACCAAGCCACCCATATTCCATGTCCTTGGTTGCCCTGGAGACCGAAAGTTGCCTAGATGGTTAGGCAGATTCTAAGCCAGCTCCCCAAGGCTCCAGACCCCAGGGAGGGGGATCCAGGAGTCAGCCTCACTCCTAGTCCAGTGCCCTTTGCTCTAGGTCCCTCTGTCTCTTCCAACAACAAGCCAGCATTTATAAAATGCATCATAGCTGGGAAATAGACAGTTAGCTTAGCAGTTTCCAGAGATGACGAAGTGGTCTTAGCCTCGAGGCACAGGGACACAATTAAATAATATTGAATCACTCAATGAAGAAAGAATTCCCTTTCCAATTTTCTTTCAAGCCTCGCATCATCAAGAAGAAAGTCTCAGTGTGGCGCGACCATCTTGCTAACATGTCTCTAATACTCGCGAATCTCACCTCAAAACAAAGAGAAAGGAGGCTCTGAGCCTTAAGTAAGCAAAAGAGTGTCCAGCTAGGATTTGATGCCAACTTCTCCAGTTACCCTTAAGTACACGAAATCAATACCAGTTTCCCAGGCATTTCCTGATACAAAGTTTCCTTTTGAAGCTCATTTAAGTTAAAAGATGAGTTGATTTGAAGAAAAATGTTACATTAATCATCATAAGGGTGGTATGCAGATACATGAAAACCTGTGAAGGTGATCTGAGATTGACTGATGTCTGTGAGTCCATTTGAGCACCACTGTTATCATCCCCATATTCAGATGGCGAAACTGAGGCTCCAGGGATGCCCAGATGAAAAATGGCAGAACTGAGTTTCATGTGTTCCTGGGGACAAAGATTGAAGCCTCTGACTGCTCCAGAGGCTGAGGAGCTGTCCCCTGCCAGGAAGCCAGCCTGTTTGGGCCAGCTCAGATCCTAGGCTGCTGCTCAGATCCTAGGGCGTGGTTGGGGGAGGCGCCAGTGAAGTGTGGCTGTGAGCAGGGCTGGGGGTGCTACAGAAAGAGGAACTTGGAATCATTATTATTTCCTCTCATTCAAGCTCCTTACTTTTTAAAAGGTGCATGTTTTCCGGAGAGCCAAACAAGCACTAGGAATAGATTTCTTTTGTGCAGAAACTCAAGCTGATGGGTCATTTCCCCCTTAACAAGAACAAACTTCCTGGCCTCAGCCTATTATTGTTTATGGAAACAAAGAGGCATGCATCTGTGCAGGGCCCAGAAAACCATATCCTGCCCTCGGACCTCCTGCAAGCAATGGCCTCCAGGAGCTACCTGCCCTGGGGCATTTCCAGCATCCCACAGATGATGCCAAGCTGATCCATGTCAGAAGCCTGCCCCAACCCACCTGTTCCCGTCATTGTCCGAAGAAATCCATGCAGGCCCTTTCAACAGGACCCTCCTCCAGGTCTGAGTTTCCCCTGGAATCCACTGATACTTCCTTGCAAAAACCACATTGAAACTGAGTGCCACCTGGCGGGGGAGGGCATAGCTCAAGTGGTAGAGCCCATGCTTAGCCTGTATGAGGTCCTGGGTTCAATCCCCAGTACCTCCTCCAATAATAAATAAATAAACCTAATTACCTCCCCCTAGCAAAAAACAAAACAAAACTGACTGCCACCTGCCGGGCCTTAGTGACAGGGGTTCGGGGGGGGGGGCAGCAGGTGGAGACCTGGCACAGTTGCTCATGGGCCCGACTGAAATGAACTCCAGCAAGATATCCTACAAATGACACTGCTGGATACTAATGGGCTCCTTTATAGCCCTGTCTCCACTATTCTAAATCAGCCTCTTCCCTTCCCAAACCTTAGGTGCCTGATCTGTAAAATGGATACACTAATAATAGCCACTTAGGGAGTTTCTAGAAAGATCCAGGAGCAAGTCATTGCAGAGCTAGACCCAGAGGGCCTAAAGAATATCATCATGTCAACCAGGAGAAGGGCTGAAATATTCGTGAAGGAACAGGCCTGGCCCCACTCTTTCTAACAGGCAATGGGGCTCTGGTTCTCCAGAGGAAGAGAAATTCATGGGCCTAATGTGTCTCCATATACACCCAGTTCCTCAAACAACTAAGGCCTCCTTACAAGGGCAGACAAGACAAAGTGAAAAGAAGGCATTTAAAAATAAGTAACAAAAATGAATCCGAATGTCATCAAAATGAAAAATCTTTGTGCTTCAAAGGACACCCTCAAAAAAGTAAAAAAACAATCCACAGAAGGGGAGAAAATATTTGCAAATACACATATCTGATAAAGGACATGTATCTAGAACATAAAAAGAACTCTTAGGATTCAACATCAGTAAGATAAGCAACCCAATTTAAAAATGGACAAAGGACTTGAATAGATTTTTCTCCAGAGAAGATATACAAATGGCCAATAAGCACATGAAAAGGTGATCAACAGCATTAGTCATTAGGGAAATGCAAGTCAAAACCACCATGAGATACACTTCACACCCACTAGGATGAATAAAATAAAAGACAGAAAATGCCAGTGTCCGAGAAGATGTGGCGAGATGGGAACCATCACCCGCCGCTAGTGGGAATGTCAAATGGTGCGGCCATTTTGACATTCCTCAACTGATTAAACATCAAGTTACCACACGACCCAGTAATTCCACTCCTAAATATAGACCCAAGAGAAATGAAAACATATGTCCATGCAAAGACTTGTACGTGGATGTTCACAGTGGCATTATTCACAACAGTCCAACAATGGAAACAACCCAAGTGTCTATTAGTTGATGAGAAGATAGATAAAATGTGGTTTATCCATTAAATGGCATATTATCCAACCCTAAAAAGGAATGAAATACTCATACAAGCTACAACATGGATGAACCTTGAAAACATGCTAAGTGAAAAAAAATCAGGCACAAAAGTCCACATATTGTATGATTCTATTCATAGTAAATGTCCAGAATAGGTAAATCCATAGAGACAGAAAGCAGATTAGTGGTTGCCTGGGGTGGGAGGAAAGGGAATAGGGAGTATGGGGTTTCTATTTGGGGTGATAAAATGCCCTGGAACCAGACAGTGGTAAGAGTTGCACAGTTCTGAATATTTTAAAAACCACTGAGCTGTGCAATTGAAAAGGGTGGATTTCATGGTATATGTGAATTACATCTCCATAAAGCTAGTGTTTTAAAAATGAAGTCTGTAGTGGTGAATGGTATATAATACTGTTAGCAGGATCATCTAATATTATTATTATTATTATAATTCCTGGCCCACCCAGGTCAGAGCAACCTTGCCCCCCAAACAGCTGCCACCTGTATCACTTTTGATCTGGAGGCACCTGGAAGGTGAGCTGCCCAGATCTCTACAGAGCCCGGCACACATGTGTGACTCCAGCTTCCGGGCAGCTTCTTCAAGCTGACAAGCCTAAGAACATGCCATAGGCTGTCTCACCAGCACTAGAGATTAGGCAGCCATACAGACAATGTTTCCAGCCTGGGGGCTGTGGCAATGTAGGGAGGAAACAATATTCCATATGCTCCCCTGAATCCCCTGGCCTTCTTTGCTGGCCAATGGACTGGGAGAGAAAGTCATGTGTCACATCAGGGCCAAGGAGTTAAAGCTCGTCTGCCTCCTTCACTCTTCTCTTCCCTTTGGTGGTAGAGACACAAAAGCAGCCAGAACCCCCAGTCTTTACGCAGAAGAGACCCAGTCAGATGGTGCATGAGAAAGACAGAAACGTCTGGTGTGCGAAGCCCCTGAGATTTGGGGTTTGTTTGTTGTGGCAGCTAGCATTAATCATCCTGACTAATGCATTGCCTTTTAATGAGTCC